GCCAGCGCGCTACTGCTTGAGCCACATCTCCAGCCCGATGAAATCTTAGTGTAGTTTTAATGTGCATTTCTTTAATTGCTAGAGATGTTGAACATTTTTTCATTTATTTATTTGGCCATTTGTGTTTCTTCTTTTGAGTAAAATCTGTTTAGTCCTGTTGCCCATTTTTTAAATGGGTTGTTTTTTTAGTGTTAAGTTTTTTGAGTTCTTTATATATTCTGGATATTAATTGCCTGTTCTAGTAGCAACTGGCAAAGATTTTCTCCCATTCTGTACAGTCTCTCTTCACATTTGTAATCATTTCCTTTGCTGTGCAGAAGCTTTTTAATTTGATGGCATTCCACTTTTTCTTTCTTTCTTTTTTTTTTTTTTTTTGGTACCAGGGATTGAACCCATGGGTGCTTAACCACTGAGCCACATCCTTAGCACTATTTAATATTTTGTTTAGAGACATGGTCTCTCTAAGTTACTTTAGGGCCTTGCTAAGGGGCTGAGGCTGACTTTGAACTTGTGATCCTCTTGCTTCAGTCTCCTGAGCTGGTGGGATTACAGGTATGCACCACCACACCTGGCTAGTATCCCATTTATTGATTCTTGGTTTTATTTCTTGAGTTTTAGACATCTTGTTAAAGACACTGGTGCTATCCCCAATATGTTGGAGTGGTCCTTCTATTCTAGAGATGATTTCTTCTAACCCTAGCTTCTTCAGAATTGTTGACCTGAGTAGGTGTTGGATTTTATCAGTTCTTTTCTGCATGTATTGTGATGATCATGTGATTCTTATTTCTATTTAACTCTTAATTTTTACTTAATTCTAGTTTCTGTTTGATTCTTAATTCTATTTAAGTGCTGAATTACATTGATTTGTGTATGTTTAACCAACCTTGCATTTCTGGGATGAAATCCACTTGATCATGGTGCATTATAATCTTGATGTATTTTTGTACACAGTTTGCTAATATTCTACTAAGGATTTTTACATCTGTGTTCAGTAGGGTTTTTGGTTTGTACTTTTCTTTCCTTGATGTGCCTTTATTTTTGGTATCAGAATTATACTGGCTTCAAAGAATGTATTTGGGAGTCTTTCCTCCCTTTCAATCTTATGGAATAATTTGAGAAAAACTGGTGTTTTTTTCTTTAAAGATCTTGTAGAACTCAGCTGAAAATCCATCTGGTCCAGAGCTTATATTCCTTGGAAGGATTTTAATTGCTTTATAAATTTCATTCTTTGATATTTGTCAGTTTAGGTTTTCTATATATTTTTTGGTTTTACTTTGGACAGGTCATATATGTGTAGAAATTTGTCAATGTCTTCTATATTTTCCAGTTTATTGGAGTATACATTTTCAAAGTAGTTTATAATGATTCTCTAGATTTAAGAAGTTTCTGTGGTGATATCTCCTTTTTTCATTTTTAATTTTGTTTATTTGGGTATTTTCTCTTTCTTTTGGTTAGTTTGGCTTAGGGTTATTTATTTTTTTGAAGAACCCACTACTTTTTGCATTAATCTTGTATAATGTTTTTTATTCTCAATTTCATTATTTTTTGCTCCAAATCTTAATTACTTCCTGTCTTTTCTGAGTCTGGAATTAGTTCATTCTTCCTTTTCTAAGGCTTGAGGTGAATCATAAATTTATTTATTTGAGATCTATTTTTTAAAATGTAGGCACTCAATATTATAAATGTTCTTATTAGAAATGCTTTCATATTATACCTCTGTTCTCATTTGTTTCAAAGAGTTTCTTGATTTCTTCTTTGATTTATTTTTCATTTGAAAAAGTATTGTTCAATTTCCATGTGCTTATGTAGTTTGTATTGTTTCTTGTGGTTGATTTCTAGTTTCATTTCATTATAATCTGATGGGAGGCACAGGTTTATATCAACTTTATTTCTATTCACTAAGATTTACATTGTGACCTAGAATATTGTCCATTTTGGAAAATGTTTAATGAGCTGCTAAGAAGAAGGTGTTGGGGCAAAAGTGTTGGGGCAAATATTCAGCTCTTTGGGGGTATAATATTCTGTAAATATATATTAGATAGATTTAATTCATAATATTATTTAGGTTTTAAATAGTTTTATTGATTTTGTGTTTTGATGACCTGTCTATTGGTGATAAGGGTGTGTTGACATTACCCAGAATTATTTTAATGGGGTCTATCTGAGATATAATGTCCAGGAGAATTTTTAAAAATGGAATTTTGTGCACTGACATTTTGGTCATATATTCTTATTATAGCTATCTGTTCTAGTTGGATTCTTCCCCTTACCAGGATAAAGCAGTCTTCTTTGTATCTTCTGATTAATTTTTGCTTGAAATCTCCTTCTCAGGTTTGGTCTCTTGATGTTGTCTCAGAGTTCATGTATATTCTTATATACATGATTTCTTTTCCCTTTATTATATTGCAGGTACTCAAGCTCATGTGCCCCATTTTCAAGGGCTGAAGTTCTTATTCTCTATGCAAGTTAATCTGTTGGTGATGCTTTCAAGTAAATCTTTTATTTGTTTTTCAATTCCAGGAGTTCTGATTGTTTTTTTTCAATGTTTCTACTTCTTTATTGAAGTGATCTTTCATTTCCTGTATTTTCCCTCGTAATTCATTCCTTAGATTTTCTTTTAGTTCATTGAACATTTTGCTAATCAGTTTTTTTATAATCTTTATCTGGAAATTTTTCCACTTCCATATCTGCAGGAAACTTTGTTGGGGGATGTAAATTTTGGGGGTAGTTTTGTTTGCCTGTTTCCTTATGTTTTCAGAGATCTTGGACTTGCACATCAATTGAGGTAGATTCTCTTTTCTGTTTATATACCTGTCCTTTTGTGTGTAGCTATTTGGGGTGGGGGGATGAATTCTTTGTGGTTTTTGTAAGAGTAGATGTCAATGGATAGAACCTGAGATCCCCCAATGGTTCTTCCTCCTTGGGTCCTGGTCGTTGGTTTAGGATTTTTGTCTCCTTAATTGTGATTTAAAGTAATATTAAGGCTCAGGTGGGGTTAGGTCATGTGTGAGGTGGGGGGTCATTGTTGCTTGACTGAAATGTGAGATTCCTCTACAGCAGTGTCTTTATTCTGTGATTTTGAAGGTCAAAGAGTACGTTCTATATAGCAAACTTTGACCTGAGAATTTGTTCCATTTAACAGCTTTTTAACAGCCTTTAGTATGAAGGAGATCAGTTTCTATATGTAATCACTACACAGCTGGTACCAATGTTATCCATAAAATGATCAATAATTACTGGATCTTAGAGGGGCATTGTCAAGGGACAGTGTGTTTAACCTCTCTTTTCTCTGCTCTTGTCCTTTTCTTTACCTCTCCTCCAAAAGTGTTTGATGCCATCATGAGGTTCATTTTGCACATGCCAGGCCTTCTGTGCTTCATCAATGTCCCACAAAACAAATCTTCCTTTTGTCTTATTTACTCCTTCTATGTCTAACCCCACTTTCTCATGCCCTAAAATTGAGTTGTTGGTGGTTGAGTGGTTGGTTGATGAACAATCCTGTATTGTAACTTTCTTATATTTCATTTGGAAAGCAGGGATGTGCATAGAAATCTTTAGGGAAGAATCTTCTCAATTTTTTTTAAATACTTTAAATTGTAGTAAAATATACATAACATGAGGCTTTTTACTCCACCATTTGCATGTGCACAATGCAGTGGTATTGAGTACAGTCACACTGTTATGCAACCACCCATCTGTGCAAAACTTTTTATTTGATAAACTAAAACTCTATGCTATACTGTTCTCTTCCAACACAGTATGATCCCAATCTATTTTCATTCTCATCATCTATCAGAATAGAATTTTTCATTTTTTTCTGTGTGTGTGGTGCTGGGGATTGAGCCCAGGGTCTTGTTCATGCAAAGCAAGTACTCTACCAACTGAGCTATAGCCCCAGCTCCAGAATAGAATTTGTAACTAATTTTCCAGAATTTCTAGACTAGCTCTGTGTCAGTTTCTGTCAATGTGACTGGGAAGGCTGATGGAAGGTGGTGGAGAGGAGGGGCTGTGTGAACTCAATAATATTTGGGCCTGGATATCATTTTTTCTTTTAAAAAGTATAATTATTACTATATATCAATTGTTTAAATTTTAATGAATTTCTCTGTGACATTTCCACACATGAATATATTGTGCTTTGATCCTGTTCCCTTCTCCATTGTTTAACTCTCCATTACACTGTACCATGAGCACTCCCACCAGTCCCCTTCATCTTCTGATAGTCACTTTTATACTTTTAGATCATTTTTGTTTACTTTTTAAAGTTTCTTCATATGAGAGAAACCATGTGATGCTTGCATTTCTGCATCTGGCTTCCAAATGATATCTGGGCCTCAAATTTTTACTTGTGTCTGTAGCTGAGAAGCTATTAACAGGTTGACTCTGGTCTCAGGAGCTCCTTTATCTGAATCTGTGGAGAAAGAGCTCCAAGAATCATGATCTTTCCCCTAGTGATTTCTCAACCAAGGCCACCTAGTCATGTTTTAGGCTTCATTTAACAAATTTGAATTGTGCACCTAGTAAATGTCAATTAGTGCTCTATATGTAGGGTACAGTGATAAAAAAATATAGAGTCACTCAATAACAACTTGATTTCTGATTACTTTCTATAATGCTTTCATGACTTTCATGAATTATAGGTTGGCCAACAATTGATACCTGTGCTTATAACAGCCTGTGTTAAAATGCCTATATTGATAACTTCTAGGCTACAGAGACACCCTTGGATGGTCTACTAAAGCATTTACATGTCAGGTAGAATCCCCAAAATAAAGAAGACCTTAGTGGTTATTATACCTGTGCATTAGATTTACAAAGGCTCCTTGAATGTGTGCTTATGAATAATGTCAGGGATGAGAACACAGCTGAATTCTAGAAGGAGTCAAAGAAATCATTCTCCCCAGGTTAGTCCCTGCCCACTAGGGGGTGCAGCTCCCTAACACTAGCTCACTTCCTGTGTGGATTGTAGGTTTAGGTTCATCATTTCACTATGACTTCAACATCCTTCAGCTTAAGAATCAGGAAAGAACATTATTTAAATGACTCTCAAAAGATGGATGCCTCTCCAGCCTTAGTAACTGTGATGCTCTTGATACTTGGTAAGTGAAATGCCTTTTAAAATTTGGACTCTTTCTTCTATTGTGTCAGAATACTCTTTAACCATGAATTTATCTGAGAGTTTTATCACCAAATTGACACAGTTCTCTTTTCCCCTCAAGGAAGAACTCATGCAGACTCAGTGACCCAGATGGAAAGCCATGTGACCATGTCAGAAGGGGCTTTGCTGACTATAAACTGCACTTACTCAGCTACAACCATAGCATACCCTGCTCTTTTCTGGTATGTTCAATACCCTGGAGAAGGTCTACAGCTCCTCCTGAAAGCTGTAAAGGCCAATGATAAGGTCAGCAACAAAGGTTTTGAAGCCACATACAATAAAGAAGCCACTTCTTTCAACTTGGAAAAAGCCTCCATCCAAGATTCAGATTCGGCTGTGTACTACTGTGCTTTGGGTGACACAGTGGCAGAAACTGCAGGGGGAGCTGAGCACAAACTCTGAGAAGCACCCAAGGGCCTGGCTGCTGAGCGTCTGCCTCTGGTACCCATTCTGTTTTCAGCACAATTTATGGTGTCTACAACAGTGTTTCTCTGGTTGAGGCAAAATCAAACAAATATCTAGAGTAGAAAACAAAGAGTGGAAGTCTTTTAACTAGGATCTTCATTAGTCAAAGGGAAGACAGAGGCTGACAGCATTAGTTCCTCATGCCTGGCCAAAGTAATTTCAAGGTAAAACCACTCGAACTATGTAGTGGTCTCTTTGCTCATCCTTGTCCACAAAACCCAGACCCCATGTGTTGTTCCGGGTCACTCTGGTAGACATTGATGTGGCTTTTTATATTTTTAGAGAGACAAATGTGCCAGAGAAGATGGCAGGTGCATAAGATATCTCCCTAACACAGAGTGGAAGGAGAGTTGGTAAGAGAACTAGAGGCCCCACCTCTGAAATCCACAAGTAGTAGTAGAGTAAGAGGGAAAAGAAGAAAGTGGGAAGAACAGACCTCACATGCAGCAACAGTGCAATGAGGGGAAAGGGACTTTCCTCATGCAGAGGACCAGCATCTGTTTTGGTTAATCAGATGGTAGCCATAGGCTAGTATTAAAAAGAAAGGGAGGGAGAAAATGCACAATTAAAATATGACCCATGGTTAAATGATGAGTGTCCCTTGCCACTTATGTAGTCAGTTTGCATTCCAAAAAGCCCCACATGAGTCAGTTTGCAGTGCCTCTGGAATGTTAAAACAAACAAACAAACAAACAAACAAACAAAAAACACATTTATTTATTTATTTTGTTTTGTAATTTCATGAAACCCCATTAGATGGCAGTGAAGAATCTCCAAAGGGCATAGAATGTAGAATGTAGAATGTAGAAAAGAAGATGATGGCAGTGGACTCAACTGAGTCTTAGAGAGTGAGAAATTCATGGAGAAATTGCATCACAGGTCAAGTGAAGATGGAAGCTGTGCCTCATGAGAGAGGCCACCAAGGAGCCTTGCTTGTGTGCTGTGCCTTCATGGAAAGGTTAGGAGTCAGAAGCACTTGCTACCCTTAGACCATTGGAGAAGGTGGTGGTGGTGGTGGTGGTGGTGGTGGTGGTGGTGGTGGTGTGTGTGTGTGTTTTAGAGATCCTTGGTTCTAGTGACAGTCCCACATGGTGTTCTCCACAGTTTGCAGAGAAAGGAATGCACACTTCCAACAGAAAATTAGACATGTCTTTTATGAATGACATAAATATTTTTAAAAATATCTTACTTTTATGAGGAACATAAAAGTAAGAAATTTTAAAAATATTCAAAAGAAGAACATAGTAGTCAATTCTCAATATAGGGAAATATCACAGTGTTTAAGAAGAAGGACATACTCAGATTAGTATTAGTTTTTCACAAAATTGCTGCCTAGATTAGTTTTACTCTCCTATACCATCAGGATTGATGATTGGACAGAATGTCTGTTTTCCCAAAACTGTAAATTCCCGAACTTTTTGGCCTTGGTATATATATATATATATATATATATATATATATATATATATATATATATATTGCATATATATGTTATTTAATTATAAATCAGATGGAGTTTCATTTAACAAATTATATAGAGTTCTTCATAATGTCAATTCAGATAGCTGGCCACACTTTAATATTATTGTCTCTGATCTTCACATCCACCTTTGTTCCACTAATCATGTATTTACAAACCCTCACTATTTTTTAAAACCTTATTTTTTTAGTACTTTTAGGTCACAACCAAATTGAGAGGAGGTTACAGAGATTTCTTACATACCTGACCCCCAGCCCTCCCTGGCTACCCCCAGCCATCTCCATGATCAAAACCCTCCCACAGAGCAGTTCACTTGGTACCAGCAATAAACTCCACTCCCACATCATTGTTACCCAAAGTCCATGGTTTTCATTAGGGGACACCTTGTGTTCTTATATCATCTGGGTTTGGACAAATGCATAATGACATTTAACTACAATTATAGAGTCATGTAGAATACTCTCATTCATGAAGACTTCCTCTGTGCAGTAGATCAGTTAGAACTGTTCATTTAGTTCCAAGCACAAACCTTTGAGAATTTTTGATTGCTACTGTAGTTTGCCTTTTCCCAATTGTCATTTAAATGGAGTCACAAATTATGTTGCTTTTTTTCAATTGTCTTCTTTAATTCAGCAACATACATTTAAGTTTTTTCCAAGTTTCTCATGACTTGATAGCTCATTTCTGCTTAGTGCTGAATAATATTCAGTTTTCTATATACATGTTAGTTTATGCTTGCATTCATCTCCAGAGAGGCATATTGGTGGCTTCCAATCTGGGCCATTAAGATTAAAAATGCAATACACATCCTGTGCAGGTTTTGGTTTACACATATGTTTTCAAGCACTCTGGGTAAACATCAAGGAGGGAAATTGCTGGATCACATGGAAAGAGCATGTAAGAAGCTGCCAAACAGTCTTGCAAATACAGATACTTTTGTATTTTCATGAGCACGAATTAGTTTCTATTTTTCAATTTATCCACACATACTAGCAAGTGTTCTACCACTCAGCTACAATTTCAGCCCCATATACTTATTTTCTATTTGTATGTATTCTTTAATGGGTTGTCTTTTTATGGTTGACTCTAGAAGATTGTTTGCATATTTTGGATAACAGACTTTTATCAGATGTGTGTTTTGCAATGTTTCCCCAAACTATGACTTGTCCTCTTATTTTCTTGGCATTGCTTTTCACAGATCAAAAATTTTAATTTTAATAAGATCCAGCTTATCAATGATTTCTTTCATGGATCTTGCATTTAGTTTTGTATGTAATAGTGCAATACCACATGCAAAATGACCTAGGTTTCCTGTGTTATCTTCTTGAAGGTTTATAGTTTTCACTTTACTGATAAGTCATTGATGTTCTAATAACCTACTGTTGTCTTATTAGAAGTGGCCCCAACTCCTACCATGGCTGCATTGAAGATTAAGTTTCTAACATTTGGGCTTTAGGAACACATTCAAAGTATGGCCAGTTCACTGAGAAATCAACCGTTTTCTTTGGACTACAATATCATAACCCATCAATAATTTATAATTATCTTATTGAGAAATGTAACATGCTTAACAAATTATATAAAAGTTATACATTGCTGGTGGGACTGCAAATTGGTGTAGTCAATATGGAAAGCAGTATGAAAATTTCTTGGAAAACTGGGAGTTCAACCAACATTTGACTCAACTATCCCACTCCTTGGTTTATAACTAAAGGTCTTAAAAATAGCACATTATAGTGATGCAGCCTCATCAATGTTTATAGCAGCACAATTCACAATAGCTAAGTTGGTACTTGGATACCCTTCAGTAAATGGATGGATAAGTAAAATGTGACATATATTCACAGTAGAATATTACTCAGCATTAAAAGAGAATAAAATAATGGTACTTTCAGGTGAATGAATGGAGTTGGAGAATATAATGCTAAGTGAAGTTAGCCAATCCCAAAACACCAAATGCTGAATGTTTTCTCTGATATAAGGATGCTAATTGTGGCAGTGTGGGAGGAATAGATAAATTTTAGGGCAAAGAAAGGGAAGGGAAGGGAAGAGGGGATGGGGTAGGAAAGACGATGGAATAAGATAGATATCATTATCCTAAGTACATGTATGAAAACATGAATGGTGTGACTCTACTTTGTGTACAACCAGAGACATGAAAAATTGTGCTCAATTTCCATAACATGAAATGAATTGCATTCTGCTGTCATATATAACAAATTACAATTTAAAAACCCTTAGAAGTGTAAATAAAAGTATATAAAAGTCATAAACAATGCATACATATTATTTTGTTTATAGATTTAAGACTATCATGTATATGTCAGTATCTATTTATATAGAAATGTATACCCCTATCTATATATAGATTCATTTGGGGAAATTTATTAACAAAATTGTGGGGACTGCCAATTCCAGTTTCTGTAAGCAGGTCATTGGGCAGGAGAACCTGTGAAGAATTGATTTTTCAGCTCAAATCTGAAGACTGGAGATACAATTTCTTCTTTCTTGGAAGAACCCAGTATTTTTCTCTTAAAATAGTCAACTGACAGATGGGGTCCACTCACAGATGGAGACTAATTTGCTTTACTCAAAGTAAATGTTGATCTTATCTAAAAATAAATTAGTGTCAAAATATATCTGGCACTGTGATCTAGCCAAGTGGACCCATAAAATTTACCATTGTATCCTCTTTGCCTCCAAAAAGTCTCTTCTAATAGCATGCCTTGCCTTATATGAGGATAATATAGCAGCTTTATTTTTATTTTGTATGATATTTTTTTCAATATTTTACTTTTAAACTGTCTGTGCATTAAATCTCAACTGTACAATAAACATTTCTACTTTAGACTTCCATGTGTTCACCGGCTCCCTATTCATTGAAGAAATAGAAGCAGGAGTTTTCGAAGCTTCAACACTTACCACTTACCAGCAGGTGTGCTCATATACTCCACCTTTCCTCTCGTCACAATGGCATCTCATGAGAGATGGGCTTTTCTGACCCTTAGCACATATCACCATACCTGAAAACATTATGCCCTTGAAAATAGTTGCTGAATTCATAATGGATGATTAAAATACTACTATTACTACCAGAGCAAAATTACCATTCATTCATTCATTCATTCAGTAAAATTTTATTATGTACTTATTTACTGACAGGCTTTATTCTAGAAATTGAAGGTGTAATAGAGAGTAGAACAAAGAAAAATCTCTGCTCTAGCAAGCTTATATTTTAGTTAAATGCTTAGTTCATGATAACCACTATTATTACCCCTTTACACTGTCTGGTAAGTATTACCATACCTATTTTCAGATGAGAAAGCTAAAGTTTAGCTCTCCTATCCAATATCATATGGAGACAGAATTCAAATTGAGGCCCCCCAATATATGTCTTACTAATCTACTATGCTTATGCAGACATATAGGGGCTAATATTTATATTCCCCATTGCCAGTAGTAAACACGAAACCTGGAAAAAGAATTAATGTAAGATTTTGATAGCTCTAACTCTTAGGATTTTGGTAAAGGTGTCCTTCACTGGGATAGGTGGAGGGAAGAGAATGAGGCTGTCTTCTAGTTCACCTGGGATTCACATGGGAAGTAAAGAAGGGAGGCATATTCAAAAACATTCAGACTTGGAATTGATCTCTTGAATCTCATGTTGCCTTCTGAATAGTACAGTGTTTAAACCCAATGGAAGCAGAGTCGCTCACCATTCTGCAAGGAGAGGATGAACTCCTCACTGCAGTTATGCTGTGAACTACTTTAACAAGTTAAAGTGGCACAATTAGAACAGAAAACAGCTGTTTGGAAGCATCTGTGAGAA